CCAGCTGGCTAATTTATGCTTGCTTTCAGTCATTCATGTAAAAATTTGTTATTTAATTTAGTTTCCGTTTTGTTTTTTTCTAAAGCTGCAAGTCGCCACATCCTGCCATCATCCCCGCACTTTTGCCTCTCACCATCCCTACACCATGTCCTTGTCCTCCTCCAAAACCCCCTCCATCCCTCCCTACTCTGTTGCTTGAACTTTATCATCTTCAGTCTTTGCACACACACAGCTATAAACTTATGCACTTTGTTTTTCAGTCTTTTTATGTATAGAAAAATTGCATTGCATTTTTCTTCAGAAAATTGCATTGTAATTTTTATTTATTCATTGATGTAAAATTCTGTACTTTTTAGTAAGGCCGGTATAACTGAAATGTTCTACAAATGGAAAAGATAGCCCTGTCATAGCATTTCAGTCTTTTTTTATTTGTTTTTTTATAATGTATTAAGATGTACTTGAGTATGTTTGTAGTAATACAAATATACTGTAAACATACTTGTATTTCAAGTGCATTTTTAATACATTTAATAGTATGTTTTGTTTTGTTTTTCACCAAAGTATATATGCTGCTGTCCTTTTTTTAGTGTACTTTATGAATATTTGTAGTGTACTCAACAATATATAATACATTAACGTTTTCTAGATATCAAAGTGTGTACGTGTGTGTGTATATACTGAAAAAAGCAGCTTTATAATATACTAGTAGTGTAATGCTAATGCATTTCCAATGAGCTGAAATACAATTGAAATGTACTTGAAGTACATTAAAACGATGCTTCAAATATACTCTAACTGTAGTTCATGAAGTATTATTCTATTTTAAGAAATACACTTAAATTGCACTAAATATACTTAAAGTGGTTCCAATTTAACACAATTTCAATATATTAAATAGATTACAAATAGATTAAAATCCAACTTAAGCATATCTTGAAATACGCTTAATATACTTAAAGTTGTTTAAAAATAATACATTTAATCTGCACTTAGTATAGTATAATTTAAATATAGTAAGTATGTCTGAAAAAGCACAATTTAAATATATTTATTTTTCACCTGGGTTGTTCGCTAGCCCACCTGGTACAGCAAGTTTAAGTCGCATAAAACATGATTTGTGATAAAAGAGCTAAATGACTTGTAGAAGCAAAGCTAAAATGGCATGTTTGCTTCAGCAAATGCCTTTTTATCTTATGTTTGCTTTTGTTAACCCTTTCACTGGTGAGTTTAAAATATTGTAGCTGTCCCTCCAGAGTGAGTTTTTTTAGGCGACCGTTTCCCCTTATTGTTTCCATGGCTACGCGTCATGCTTGTCATGTGACACACCGTGGCCACAATAACACTGTGTGACAGATGGATCGCTTTTATTTCGTTTTTTATTCAAAATATTCATAAACTTGCTTACCATATCATCAACGATCTGATATTCCGATCCACAAATATGTGTAAATGAGTGTGTTTTGTCGTTTAAAAACCGTTCTAAATGAGCTTGATCATGATCTGTAATGTGAGATGGGTGCCGCTATGTTTGTTCACGCTGCAGTTCCGAGAGTCCTGTCAGTCGGATTTACTGCACGTAAACGCATCAATTTCTCCCGAAATACATGTAAATAAGTGGCCGGTGAACTGGGAGAAGAATAGAGTGAACTTTATAGTTACTTACACTGTCTGTATCTGATATTAATAAAAAACATGCGTTCAGCTCATGAAAAATGGGGGCAAAAACAAAAGTGTTGCGTTTATAATTTTGTTCAGGGTATGTGTACTTAAATGTCTGAAATAAACATTATGTGGTTAAAACCACTACATAGTTGTGATTATATAACAAGTGCAGTGGCATCTCAGCGCCAGATAAAGCGCGAAAGCACAGGTTGAATTTGGCAGTTATGTGATGCCACCGAACATTCTAAATCCCATATACCATACTCCCAGTGGCACGGAAATAAAAATCCCATATGTGGGACCGCACCACTGAAAGGGTTAACAGAACACTATCAGTTAGGTTTAGGTTTGGGTTTAGTGTAGGTGACAGGTTATTTTCAAATGCGATACAGCGTAAACCTTTTAGCGCCACTCACCAGTCATTTCATTTCTGAACTGCCATGATACATACAACAACCAATACCACTAAGTGGACAATTCCCAGCACAGCTATTTTAACAATATACTTTATTACTGATTGAATTCTAAGTATATAATAAATTTTTTTTCAGCGTTTTGAGTGCATACATCATACATGCTATACTTTAGAATTAGCCTAGAAGAACATGTGCGTTAGAACAGCCTTTGCTTTGTGAGTGTGCCTATGATGTCTTACAATGCTGCCTATGTAGGCAGCTTACTTGCTACTGGAACAGAACAGAGTCAATTTCTGGAAGGTCTCTGCACTTGGGCTCCACTTTCCCTGTTTTATGAGGAGCTGTGAGCACTGGTCCCTGAAAACCCCAGAAGTAGTAAAATAGAGGGTGATGCAGTGCAAGACAAATAAACTGCTTCTGTCAAGCTTGAGCAGAACCTGACCCTTGTAAACCAGGCTATAAATAGATTACACGGACACAAACTTCTCCACCTTTCTTATAATAAAAACTGATATAAACACGGGTCCATGGGGTGTATAAGAGAAAGTGAGCCTTAAATTTATACGAATAAATCAGAAATGTACAGAGAAACTTTACCGCTAAATTTTAAGGTCTTGAATTTGCATGACTTTGAACTAAATTTTTTATAAATTGTTCTAAAATGTACTATCTATCTAAAAGTTACAACTTTTATTAAAAAATAAATCCCTATCCCATTCCTAAACCTAAGCTGGTCGTACAAATGTAGGAATGAGTTATTACGAATTCATCAACACATAAAATAGTTATATGAATCGACATGAGAGTGGGACGTAACATCAATTTCATCAATAAAACAATAAATAGTAATATTATGTTAATAAATATTAAGTCTAATAAATATTTTGTCAGAATACATGGATAATTTCTTTCTGAAAGGTCATCAATGTATTATAATGCTCTTTGAAGCCAACAGGGTGTAATTACAAAATCAAACCATCAGGGGCAAACTGATTTATGCTAATCAGCAAAACTTTGAACTCTTGATGCGAGATGGGGAAAATCAATCATAAGTCTACAGTAAATTAGCTTCGCAGAAATGAAAAGTAATTTTTGTCACAGTGCTAGACATCACAACAGACCTGACAAAAATGTATTAGTCAGATTTCAGAGATTGAAAGGTTGCAGGGTTTGCAGTGTTTCCCATAAATCTCTGCCGTTTTATTACTGAGAACATTTCTGAAAAGTCATGTTAAAGTAGTCTCGGTAAATGGGAGCTATTAAAGACAAGAATGGACTTTGCACATCGCTTCAACACTGCAAAACAGACTGATTACTGCCATCATGGCCACTATCCATCAAATACTTAAACTCTACAGCAAACGGCTTGCTGTCATAAGTCTACTATGACAGTCTACTCTGATATCTTTACTTTTATTTTCGTCGCTTGCTGCATTTAGAATTGTCCAACTGCTGTGCCCTGGTCTATTGCATGAGTGAAGCTCACATGTCAGACAGATCGATGAAGCTATAGTGTTCCACTAGATTTGAGATCCCACAAGGGACACTGCCCGAGCTCTACTACAGACGAGCAACAGTTTTACCTTGATGAGCTCTTCCAGCTCATTGGGGGTCACGCACTGATGTTTCTCCAGGAAGGCGGCTTTCTTCGAAGTGATGGTGTCTTTTTGGTTGCTCTCGAAGGGTTGCTCCAGGGCTTTGAACACCAGACCGCCGGTGACCAGGTATGCTACCACCACCACAAACACGGCTAGGACAGTCTTCCACTTCATGACCGTGAGGAGGGCTGAGCCGTCTGCCACCGCTTCAAAGCTAGCCACCATACTAGCGGGCCGGGAGACAGAAAGGCGAGGTAAAGTGCAGCCCATGGGGTTCTGCATGGTGGCCACGCTGGCCTGCACCAAGCTGGACTGCAACATCCCTGGCTGGACCTTCTTGGGCGGCACCAGGTTGGTCTGCACTGGCACTGTTAAAAAAAGAGACAATATACATGTATGCCATGTATATGATAATTTACTACACTAGTTCTCAACTGGTTTTGCTTCTGGACTCAGATTTTACATTTAATATCAAGTCAAACTTGTACAGATCTAAACAAAAATGTTATTAAAATCTTATATTAAAGCAAAAAAATAATATTTTTTATGAAGTCTATGCCATTTTATTTTACCTTGCGTAGTTTCTTTCATAGTTTTCGAGGATGAGAGCTTGACACGCAACCTCTTCATGATGGAATCTTATTTGCCTGGCTTCTAGCAACTGACAGATGAATTTGTGACAATACCGTAAAGTTTGGACCCACAGCCCTGACGTCAAAAAGATCTGCATTTTCTCCTCTTTTAAGTGCTGATGAACCTATGAGATTTGCTACAATAAATGGACTGTTATATGATGATTTACATATTATTTATTATGTCATTTATATGCATTTTTCCCCCTGCTGTCCACTATTCTATCAGAACAGAACATCAATGTGTTTTTGTGTTGCAAACCACTGATTTATGTTGTCATTTATCCACTGCAAAAAGCTTATTCAAAGACCAAAAATTAGAATCAAATCAAATTTGCTTTTTGAGTTTAGTGTTTGCATCTGTGTTCATTTTACTTTCTTTTCAAACATGACGATTTTAAATTAATGTAAACACTCTAGGTGGCAAAGAGTGGAGTTTCACATGGAATGGTCCCAAAGCTTTTTATCATTGCTGCATACCCACACATACACACACATGTCTGCACACACACTTCTGTTGGATTTCTGAAAACCCATTAGAGCAGAAAGCAGCAGTAGTATCAGGGGGGAGCAGCTACACTGTTTCAGACCGCATGGCTGCATTTATAAACACATAAAAGAACATTACTAACCATTATGCATATTCCATAAAAAATCATCTTGTGGAGGTGGTACTCTAAATAAATCAATATGACCATATAATCAATAAACCAAATATTGCATTAATCACAGAAAGCACATATAGAGAGTGAGCCTCAAATTATTTGCCCTCAACTTTCTTGTAGTAAGGCAATCCCCTGGCCTGCAATATTATGTAGTATTGCACAGCTGTTTATGTGGGCACTATCCCTGCAGCATGACCGCAATAATTTACTGTGACAATTCGATCGGTTGTTTACAAGCTATATTGACCCTATCTTCAGAATTGTTTCCCAGTTAACTTTCAGAGCAAATGATTAAGTGGACATTAAGAATTTCAATAAGCCGTATTCATTTTGAATTAAGATTAAATATTGATCGACAATAGTGACTTAAATTGTAGTCGCATTATGTGAAGGAGCTATTGCGTTCAATGCGTTAAAATAATAGGCTATTAATAATAATAGCTGTTCCCAAACGTAGGCTATAAATCTAATTCACAGTTTCCTGGAAGGTCAAAAAGTATGTGTTTATCACCTCGCCTGACAGATCTGCGACGTGGTTAATATAAGCATCGTGAATATGTGTGATTTGTCGGGTTGGATTTGTCGGTACATAGTAAGATTAGGTAATGCGCGTGTCTCCCACGTTTCATTATGCATCTCTCGTGTCTCTGCATAGTACTCGCAGACTTGTAGACGCGTTATGATGCACCCCAGTTAAAGATTTCTGGAAAAGGTAGCCTTTATAGACGTCTCTATGACTTGTTCCTCTAATTCCCTGCTAAACTATTGCAGCAAACATCAACAATACAGGTCTCTCGGTCATGTCGTGATTGGGATTTATCTAGTGAGGAAAACCTCTTAAGCATCAAGGGGTGTGATTGAAACGCGTGGTTGTGAATCTTAATGAAGAACTGAACTGAAAAACGGAGACGGATAGAATGAGATCCATTATTAGAATTAAGAGACGTTAAATCTTTGGTATTGCACCACTAAGTGATCACAGTCAACTACCTCACCCATTAGCACTCCATCATTTTGCGCATCTTGGGTAAAGTGCTTTTGATTGGATTAGTTGGGTTCTTCAATCACTCTACATGACAACTGGCTGCCAGAGCGCATGTATGCTTCGTTGTGCTCTTAATAACTTCTGTCAAAGATGCAGCATGAACAATAACGTATATGCCAATGCATTTTGGATCGAAATGTACCTACCTGCTGGAGGGTTCCAGTTCCCTGGTTTCCTTGGGTTTTCCGTTGGAAATTTCATTTTGGATTGCAGTATAATTCATGAAATGGTGGAAAAGTGATAAAGTAATCGAGAGACACGGCGTGACTGTTGAATCATGCAGCGAATTTCCTTGAAGACATTGTTTTTAAACGAGACAGGGAGGTAAATGGGCGCAAGCATGAGATCATCTTCATCTTCAGGCTTGTAGAGGGATAGATGTGCTGTTAGACTGGCGTGGAATCTGCCTTTCACGTAAGAGTTCCAGATCACTCCGCCTTTTGCCAGCTGCACCCTCTGTGTGTGAAGTAAACAGTGAAGGTGCAGCAGAAGTCCACGAGCTGTTGGGGGCATCGTCTGTGCGCTTCGCGAATGGACTATATAGAAGGCTTTTCTCAGTAGCCGCAGTATGTGGCAAACCGGTTTAACATTTATCCCACAAGACCGACATTATTTATTTATTTGTTTGTTTGTTTGTTTGTTTATTTATTTTTTGTTATTAGTGCATATTTTTATTTACTAAAAAGTAATTATCGTGTGACCATTTCATGAATAACTTTTTTATTGAATGCTGGTAGGCTACTCCATGATCCATTTCACACGTGATTGAACCGTTTCAATGGCTACGTTTACATGCAACCAAATAATCCATTTGTAATCGGATTGACGGCTCAATCGGACTGAAATACCTTCATGTAAACACCTCAATCGATCCGATTGAGCTCGATCGGAATGAAATTTTGATCAGATTGAAGGGGGTGGTTTATTCCTTTTCTAATACGATTGAGAGTGCACGTGAACACTCGATCGGATTGAACCCCGAAACTGAAAGGACTGCGCATGTGCAATGACGCAGAAATAGCGTAATGACGTATGACGCGCGGAACGAGCAGTTCTTCCTTTTGAATAAAGTGTTGTATAAATGCGTGTCCTGTGATTATAAAACTCTGTGACGAGTGGGGGCGGGGCCGAGAGCAGTGGGAATGGAGTAATTGATAATGAGCGACACCTGCACCACTCACGGAGGAGCTCCGGAAGGATAAAAGGGAGGAGTGACGACAGTGAAGGACGAGAGAGGACCAGGCCTGGACTTTATATTGTGTTTTGGTTTCGTTTGTGCGCGACAGTCGTCCGCGAGGGGCTGTCGCGCTATTTTGTGTTTGTTTATTTTATTAAAGTTTCTTTGAATGTTCGCCGGTTCCCGCCTCCTTCTTCCCGTGACTACGAACTTTGTTACACTCTCCTTTCACTCGGCAACTGTGAAGTGGAGCAGGACAACCTCCCACCAGTCCTTGTTTTGGATTCTCCTCCACAGGCAACCCGTTTTGAGCGCGGGGAGGGGCATTTTACTGCATGATAAATATGAGCAGCACGGCACAGCGGTTTAAATGTATATTTATCCATAAATTAATAAATATACATTTTGCTGTTAAAAACAAATAAAGAAGCCGTGTAGGAGAGTGGTTATTATGTGCAAACAGTGAGAAACTCTTACTCTTATATTTGTGCAGTGTGTCAAAAAAATTCATTCCAGTTTGAAGCTTGTCACATATTAACACGCACATCAACCTGATCACTTTATTTAGCGTTCATGTAAACACTGCATTCCGTGACTACGAACTTTGTTACACTCTCCTTTCACTCGGCAACTGTGAAGTGGAGCAGGACAACCTCCCACCAGTCCTTGTTTTGGATTCTCCTCCACAGGCAACCCGTTTTGAGCGCGGGGAGGGGCATTTTACTGCATGATAAATATGAGCAGCACGGCACAGCGGTTTAAATGTATATTTATCCATAAATTAATAAATATACATTTTGCTGTTAAAAACAAATAAAGAAGCCGTGTAGGAGAGTGGTTATTATGTGCAAACAGTGAGAAACTCTTACTCTTATATTTGTGCAGTGTGCGCATGTCAAAAAAATTCATTCCAGTTTGAAGCTTGTCACATATTAACGCGCACATCAACCTGATCACTTTATTTAGCGTTCATGTAAACACTGCATTCAGATTCATCAGTCGGAATTAATTCAGTCCAATTAAACCAAAAATTGTGCATGTAAACGTTGCCACTGAGATACAGTCTTCATCCAGTACAAACTATAGAACATGGTACTAACAATGGAAAGGTCTTAAAATTTTAACATACTGCATGAAGTGACAATCTTTATATCCTGAAGAAAATGTGAATCAGTTTTTGATGAAGGTGTCTGCCAAATATAAAATAAAATACAACCAACCCTCCCTCACAAATTGCACTACATCAATGCTAAAATTCTAAAATCACCCTTTATCCAAATTATTTTTAACGTAACAGGGGGTGTGGTCAATTGTAACTTGTCATCTGCTTCCAGTCATGCTGATTACCATTCCAAGCTGGTATTTGTTATCATATTATTTAAATATATTATTTTAATCATAAATGTACTGTTTTTTGTTATTTTGTTTTTAGCTATAGCAGCTAATTGAATTGGAAATCTCGCACATTCATATAAAATAGCTTACTTCCACATTACAAAATAAGGTGGATAGGCTTCCCTTGACCAGTGACAATTTGAGAGGTGTGTTCAGTTGCTTTCTGGAAGCCAAACTTCACAGCTCATTTCACAGCTCTTTCCATGTCCTCAAAAAATGAGCTTACACATTCATATCCTATCTAACTTATTAATTGCAATTGCAGCTTTTGCTAGGGTCTACGCTAGCTGGTGCTAGCATCTAATGAATATTTCATTGCTGTCAGCAACTGGAATACAGTTGTAGTCTGAAGTATGTAGTTGATTGCTGAACCCCAGGTCCCCACATAATTATACAAGTATAGACTAATTGAAAGACTAGTCACTAGTAAATCAAGCTGTTTTTAATAAGTAGTTACTAGCGAAATTTGAGTAAAACAAAAATAGATATTGGTTAGTTTAAAGCAATAAATGTTAAAATGGCTTGCCACAGCAGTATGGAGACACCACACAATAAGGCTCCAGCTATAAGCAAGGTGCCCCTCTTACCTCACCCGATTATACTGCACTGTTGCGCCAAGTGCTGGTGTGTAGTCAGAGAATACTGTGAGGATACTGTGTGCCATATGAAGTTCAGCCAGTGTCATTTATTTAGCCTGCTAGCTAGTGAACGATCAAGCTTCTTCTCTGTGCAGGTAGAAATTCCACTGCTTCCATGACACTATAAGATTTATCCTGGAAATGTAAGAGCAAAATATTATAAGCCGAGACAAGAAAGCTTCTGCGGTAAAGCACTGATTCCATCGGTTCATTCAGTATCACATCACTCAACGGAAATATGAAGTCCTCACCTTACATAATGAATCCCAATTACTCAATAGCCTATTTGAATTGTCCAATATGGGATCTCTTTCAAAGAGTGGTAGGGTGACCATATTTTAGTTTTCAAAAAAGAGGAGGGGGGGGGGGTATTACTGTTTTCTATTTTCATGTATTTTAAAATGTAATATATTCCTGTGATGTCAAAGTGAATTTTCAGCATCATTACTCCAGTCTTCATAAACATTTTTTTATTATTATCGCAGTTGCAAATGGTTATATTTACTTAATAAATATATAGTATAATATTAAGTATATAATACTTAATATTTTTGTGGAAGATGGTTTCTTTGATGAATCAGAAAACAGCATTTATTTAAAATAGAATCCTTTGTAACAATGTAAAAATTGTTACATCAATTTTTATCAATGTAATGCAGTTTAATGCAAAAGTACATATAAAAGTACAAAGTGTATATATATGAATATAAGACATTTTTCACTTCCAGCCTTCATGAATAATTATATATCAATTATAAATTATTAAATAAAAGATTAATAGTAGTTATTAAGATTGATGTCATTTGGAATTGGTAAAATGTGCTTGGAAAAAATATGATCAGAACATGAATTTGCATAATAATTATGCATGCACTGTATTTTTCCTCTTCTGCTGTCGAGATAATGCAAAAAATGTTGTGATTGGTTGTCAAGGCAGCCAATCAGAATTTAGCAGCCTTGTCTCTGATTGGCTTGAATTATGGCATATTGTAATGCTGGGTTGTGTTGAGCAAGCGAGCTGTTGGCATTTAGAGAGCACTGAGGGTGGGCATCAGGTGAGCAAGCTAGTGAAACGTTATATGCGCAATAGAGAAGGTCTGCACACATCCAAAAACTTATTTTAAATGCAAAATTGATTTTTGTGTGCTCGAAATACTTTCTTCTTTGCGAGACAAACATTTTCTCCACAAAACTCAGTTTGCGCGCGTGCAGAACGCACTTTTACGCACTCAAAATATGATATTTTGCGCGCAGAATTGTGGCAGAGATGTAATCCCATATAAAACTTGCTGGCAAACACAATATGCAAATGAAACAGGAAAACAGCAAGATTCCAGCAGAAATACAGAATTCTGGCATGAAACTCTAGATGGCACAGTCCGATAGGTCTAACTCAATCTGACCTAATGACATAATCACATGGCACAGGTTCTCTCCTGTATCGGTAGCCAATGAGCTCGCTGCTCAACATTCAAGTAGATGACTAGTGCTTGCCGTAGCAGTGCAGCTTGCTTCAGGACAGCGCAATCAACATCTAAGATAAGTGAATGCTCTTCTAATCCATATCGCTGTGAGTATTGCGTGGTCTGCCTAATTGAATTAAAAAATGAGCAACCATAATCAAGTTTAAACTAAGTGTCATGTTAGCAGTTTGCATTGTATGCAGGAGCGAATATTAAGCATATTAGCAGCAGCATTTAGCATCTGTGTTTATACAGCTGGAGCAAACACAGTTTAGAGCATATGTAATTGCTCTAAGGACATCGGTAGCCAATGAGCTCGCTGCTCAACATTCAAGTAGATGACTAGTGCTTGCCGTAGCAGTGCAGCTTGCTTCAGGACAGCGCAATCAACATCTAAGATAAGTGAATGCTCTTCTAATCCATATCGCTGTGAGTATTGCGTGGTCTGCCTAATTGAATTAAAAAATGAGCAACCATAATCAAGTTTAAACTAAGTGTCATGTTAGCAGTTTGCATTGTATGCAGGAGCGAATATTAAGCATATTAGCAGCAGCATTTAGCATCTGTGTTCATACAGCTGGAGCAAACACAGTTTAGAGCATATGTAATTGCTCTAAGGACACGCCAATAGTAACGGACATGAAACAGGTTAAATTAAATAAGCATTCTTGTGTATGCATTTCAACGGGGGTTCAACATATACATTGGCGATTAAACCCAGTGTTCACGTTCGTTATTTCTAAGGTAGATGTTTTCATTGTGATGAGTGTGTGGTT